TTACTGAAGTATACAAGGAAGCTTTTTTTCTAAGAATGCAAGATTTTAAAAACTAGTCACGATTTGGGACTAAACGTTTTTACTGGAGAAACATTGTTGTGTTTTTTACTATCTTGCCACAGCCACTGACACAAAATAAAGTCTCTTCATGTTAATATATGCTGGTTGTTAAGATGGTTAATAATTGCAAACAGAATTCATACGTTTCTGTAGTCTAAAAGGGAAGGAGTAACTGGATTATCCATCTTGTATGGTGTCATGTAACCTGACACTTCAATCTGTTATTTTATCATGTGACCAGAAACTTGAGTTTGGTAAAGCAGCTTAAAAGGTAAGTCATGAACGGAGGACAGAAAAAATAGGAATTTGATTCTGAAAATTGTTGCAGACATAAATTGTTCTTACTTGTAAATTATAATCTTTTATCTTCTAGATTTCTCTAAGATGAAAAATTTTAAATTTAGTTCTCTTGATTCCACTGATTTCTTTTTTTCCATAAGTCTTTCTGCTATAAATTAGATATTTTTTTACCTCAATAACTTTCTGAAGAGTCTTTTTTGTAAAACTATAAATAATTTCTGGCTTTCAAATCTGTGAAAATCTTGATTTGTCAACAGTAATATTCAAAAACCCCCATGTATATTAAATAAAGGCAGGTATTTACCCTTTGCATTTTCTGATTTTTTTTTTKTGTGGTTTGTATCCCTGATGATAAAGACAACCAGACCGTGTTTTTTTGCAGCCACAATTAAACATTTTAGGCTGAGATACATATAAGCAAGAAATTTAGGAAATATGGAGACTAAGTGGCCCATTCTGAATTTTATAGGCCATTTCAGACTCATTACAGGGTTCTCAACAAGCCAGGGATGGAAGATATGCTTTCTACATAAATTACTTCTAAAAATTCAGGTATTCAATTGAGCAGTAAATGTAAAAGTCCTTTTGAAAATAGATGCTCCCTGAAAAGTTTAAAGGCAGAGAAGTTACTCAAACTCCACAGTGCTTACCAGAGGAAGAAACAGTAAGTAACAGACAAATTCAGATGTCGTTGCTGAATATGAGAGGTCATTGAACGAGTCCAGAAATATTGTTAGGTAGTGGTGGATAGAGGTAAGGATGATATCCCTGTAAAGTGATGAAACCAACAGATTGATGTAGGAGCTAAAAGGTGATTGGTGCCACTCAACATCAGCCATACCCTAGTGGTACCTTGTGCCTGTGACCCTTTTGTGGAGTTGGTGAGCTGTACAAGTTACATAAATGTCTGTGTATTTTTCAATAGGGACTGCAGACAGCTGGGCCAGTCATGTTGAACCAAGTCACACAGTTGTGCTAAAACAGCCTCGTTTGAGCCTGCGCTGTACTGGGTTTTCTGCCAAATCATTCTATAAGGTACCTCCCTCACTGTCAGCTATTTGTTTTAATTGAAAACCACAATCTGAACAGAGAATTAAACATTGAAAGACTGAGTAAAGGCTAATGATTCTTTATGGTAGATAYGCTAAATACACAGGTTGGTGATTTAAATGTGGGAATAATTTTCCTCTTCGGAGATGTCCTTATAACTTTCTTTAAATACTTCTTAAATAAGTTGCAGTTAGTTTAAGATACTGTTTTCTTCTGATGGATTGTTCAAATATCAAGGCTTTAACAGGAGGGTAAATAATGGACTGACTTGCAGTGACTTTTTCTGTTTCACAATGCTGCAACTTAGGAACCTATGGTGAACAGGTACAGAGCAAGAGGGAATTCTTGGGAGTTGTCAGTGGTGTGCTGTTATTTTTAAATCAGCGAGACACTACAAAGGTCTTACCACAGAGAAACTGTGGCCCATTCATGAGATGGCCATTGCTTTTACATTTAAAGTGAGACGTGTATGTTTGCTATCGTTATCTTGACTGCAGCCATCATGTAATTGCAGAAGTAGGGGAGGGGGAGTAATTAGTGGGAGCAAAAACACTCTAGTAAGATCCTGCAATAGATGTAGGAGAATTAATTTCCTAGATCTTGCATAATTTTCCCAGTGATAGCTTATGCTCTTACATCAGTTTCTCCATTTGTAAGGAAAGGTAAATTGTTTTCTAGTTTGGGTCTCTCTTTTTAAGGAGATGAAAAAAAAAATCACAAGAACCCCAACAGCATTAGTAATAGGTATTTAGGCATGCACTTACCTTTCTGAAGGGCTGTGCACGTACATCAATATTAGCAAGAAAGAACTATCTTTCCTCTGAACTGTCTATGAAGAGCTTCAGCAGGTAACATTCATGAGGTTTTTCTGTGACAAAAATATTTGTAACAACCTGTGTCCTTAGGAAGCCTGAGCTAGTTTCTGGCTTTTTGTATGTGTTTTTTAATGTTCCTTAAAAAAAAAAAAAATTGGGTTTTTTTTTTTTTTTTTCTTTTTTTTCCTTTCCCTGTATTTTGGTAGAAGTCATTTTAGATCAAGACTTGTATTTTAAAAGAGAAGGACAGAGGATTCAGGTGTGGTCACCATTGTACCACACTGGTAATGTGCAGGATTCCAGAAATGCTAAATGTCTCATGCATCAGCATTCAGAAAAGAAAGGCACCTTCTTGCAGCAGTAACTATGGGGAAATTGTTGCTTCATGGCCATTACTTTTGTTTTCCAGAAGATGCTTTTGCTGAGGAACTGTAATTGCAGAATGCTTTGTCTTTAGCTTTGAGCCAAGCTTGAGAAGGGGAGAAGGACTAGTTACTCTTGTGCATGGTTCTGCTGCTGCTGTCAGCAACCTGGGTATACCATTGAGAAGAACAAGCCCATTTAATAAGGACAGCAGTCATTTTCTTGATTTTGTTTTTACAGAGTAGCAGCATGTGGGTAGATTTGAATGGTCAACAGGTTATTGAATCTTGGCTGGAAGAAGCAGATGTAGCAGTTTTTCTCAGTGTACTGAAAGAGTTGGAGCCAAGTRGGCAACATTTAATATAACCACAGTTTCTACCTGTAGAGGGTAGAGCTTCAGCATGTATGAGGGAGACAGAGCTGAACCAGAAGACTTAATATGTTATCCGTAAATCAAAACTGAAGTCACAATAATGCTATTTAAAAACCGTATTTTTCGTCCTTTTGGTCTATTTTCTTCCACTGTGAAATATATAATTTGGGGTTGCTGTACTCCTAGGGCAGAATAATTTCAGCATTGGTCATAAGATCTGGCTCATTCTTTTCCCCGACACACCTCATACCCCCTGCCCCCTAAATTTTAGTGTGAGCTGCAAAAAGAACTCTATAAAACAAGAGCTGGTGTTTATGAGGGAATGTATATTCCCATGATACTGCAACCACTGACAGCGGTGTTTGCATTGCTTTACTTTGTGACATTCTGCACTAAAATAATCCAAAGGGAGGCTGAGGGAGGAGAAGAATGTCAGTCATGTCCGAGGAACTGTGTGTACAAAACTGTACACACAGTTTGTTACAATTGTGTGCTACAACCCGGTCAGCACTTTGCACCCATCAGCAAGATCTGTGCTCCCTCTCGTGGCAGGTTCTCACCAGTAAATCCATCGTAACTCTTCCCTGTTAGTGCTAAAATGTGCTTATGCGTAGCTATGAGAAGCATCTGGTTTCCAAACTTAACAGACTTACGAACACAAATAGCACTGAATTCTTTTTTTTATTGACATCGGGGGAGAAAAATTTCACCATCTGATTGACCGAAGTTTGCCAAATAAAAATAGACAAAACAAATGTTTATGTACGTGCAAACATTGCAGATCAAACTGCTAAAAGAAATAACTAAAAGACAGGTCTTGAGCTAAGATCAAGCAGCAGAAAAATAGCAAATAGGTAAATGACTATTAAGTAGGTCTTACTTTGAAACTTCCCACTTAAACAAAGAATAAACAACAATAACACCACCAAATAAAGCCACAGCAGGTAATAGTTGCTCTTCTAAACTTTTATACACTATATATTAATCACTCTGTCTTTCAGTTATTTCCTCTGATAAAACTGACTTCTGTGAAGTCTCAGCAAGGCCATCTTGGCTAAAAGCATAAAATTAGACAGGAGCCTGTCTAATGGCCTGTTAGAATGAAGAAATGGTGGGGGTTGGCTTCTTTTTCTTTGCTGAATAGATCTGGAAACAAGAATCTGATTCTATGCAAATATTAAATTTACTTTTCCAATGTTGGCTGGTGTTTGAAGATCCTGGAACGAAAAGGTGGCTCTTGGTAAAGCAAGATTCTTCTTGGTCCGCAGGTAACACAGAAGAAAGTTTTTTTTGTTTTGGTTTTTTTTTGTATAAATCATATTTTATTAAATTGCCTTTTTTTTATAAACAGTTCTTTTGGGTTTGTTTGTTTTTAAGAGATGACCCATCATGGTGCTTCTCTACAGAGATATGACATGTTCATTTTCTCTTTGGAAGTCCATTTTGGCTCCAGTTCCAGGTTATGTCATTCTATTATACATCATCAGAGGCAGGTGTTCAGCTTTAAATATTGACAGATTTTTCTCAGTAGGAACATGTTGAAGCTTCTAACTCTGCTAAACATATTTATTTGACTGTTACAATCCAAAAACTGTAGAAATGGTGGAATGGAAAGATACAAACAGTATTATTGACACTGTATTGTCAAATGTTTGCACTGAGACCCCATGTACCATAGTTTTTATTTTTTAAAAAATCGTATTTATATCCATTTACATAAGACTTACACATTTGAAAAGAAATACATACACAGTAAATACGTAAATGTCTAGTATTACAATAAAACAGATGCAACAATGTAAAGATGAGTGGCTTCATTTGATAAAAGCTTTGGATGTGCACTACTGTCAAATTTTTGATGACACAGATGCTGAGAGAAAAGGGGGAGGTTGTTTTGTTTTCCTTTTTTCTTTTTTGGTAGTAATTTAGGGGGGKTTTTTTCTTGTTTTAAACTAACCAATACATGAAAGGAACATCATATCTGTTTGTATGATAAACTTTATGTGTTCTCTTCCCTATTACCCTGTTCTTGCTGAGAGTTTTAATGCTCTTTTCCTAAGTAGTGGTAGTGCACTTCAGGTAAAGTAGAAGAAAGAGATGACATCTAAGGGAAAAAAATAAACATGAATTAGCAAGATTCTATGATTCTAATTTGGTCTAAAGTTCAATGACAACAGAGAATATAGCGCTCAGTAAGTAGTTTAGTAACTAAGTTACTAAAGTTACTAAAACATTTGAGTATCTGTGGGAGGCATGCATTTGTTTAATTTTAGATCTGCACTAATGCATTTTAATCTTTTACTAATTATACTTAGTCAAAACAGACTGCTTTTTATGTAAATTTAACAGAATTTTTCTTGCTGTTTTGGTTTAGCACTGGGGTTAGTTTCCTGCATCACAYGTTTTCAGTGTACAGACCTTGCTGATGTACTTTGTGGTTCTTCTTTCTAGTTCACAACAGCTTGACAGCATTTACCTTTTTCACCCTGATGGTTTCTTTGCTATGGACCAGCTGCTTCCAGATTATCATTCACATCTTTTTGGAACTCTGCTTCTCCATTTATCTTTACAAATCCTCTTTGGAGCCCTTATAGGTAAAGTACATAACTGATTTTGCCAAATCTCCTTTAGTATTTCATGAGAGTAAGAGTGCTAATATGTTCTATTGCTCCAGCCTGTGGCAAGAAACCTGTCCTGACTGACCCTTCTGACTTGGCAATGACAAATGTTTTAGAGGATGAAAGTACTGGAAAGCTTCAATAGCGTGGGTGCCAAGTCCACATGCTGTGTAAAGGCATTGTAGCTGCTCTGCTGGGCCACCACATGTAGCTACCACAGCAGAAAGTTTGATGGGCCCCATGTGCCCTATAGTAAATTTCTTTGCAACATGAAATGGCCAGCACCAACAGGCTTAATTTAAGATTATCCAAACCATTTATTCCCACTCTATTAAAAATTATCTAAAAAGTAGTAAAGCACAAACAAAAGCAAAGCAGCAGACTTAATTGTTCTTAAATTTCTGATACTGAGTGCACTAAAACAGGGCTGTGCAGAGTATACATATATAACTGTTATGAGAATCTCTGGTCATGGTTTCTGGCAGTGCACTGTGGTTCCAACAAACGCTTAAAAAAAACCACCTGAAATGCAATTTGAAAGCAATTGAATGGGACATAGCTGCTGTGAAGAAACACCGTATACAATGGAAGTTTATACCCAACTGATATTGTAGCATAAACTACTTTGAAATGAAAAGCTTTGACAATCTCTGTAAGAGAACGTCTCTATAAGAGTAGCAGAATGCAAGAATCTGCAGCCTACTGTAAATACAGACCATCTGCATGTGTTCCATGCAATCCATTTACAGCTTTTTTTCCTGGTCTGCTTTTTGTAGGCCTGTTCTCATTTACTATATTAAAAATTTCTCTTATATTGCTAGTGTGTGTAGCTCGTCCAACTGTCCTTCCCCTCTGCTGCACAGTTCCTGGTTCTGTGCATGAGATACTTCCCCAGAGTAACACAGCTGTTGATGTAGTATAGGCAAGGTRTTACAAAAGCCTGGGTCTCAGTCTAAGCTGGATCTGGAAAAATTCAGGAGGCATGTTGTAATGAATAATCTTCCCTTTTGTCGAAGTATCAATCAGTTCCTTCCTTGAAGAAACTGTTACTCAGGAACTGTGATGACAAAATTCTGAAAACTCCTCTGTTGCCCTTCAATCTGATATCCCCCTGTATGAGCAGTTTGCTTTTATGCATTCATTCTTGAGTTGCAGGCAATTTGTTTAAATTTTTAAGTTTGATATAAAATAGTGAAGGAAATATTTTCCCTGTATGGGGCTTTTCTTCTGGGGGGGAGGGGTGGGTTGTTCTTTTAATTTTTACTATAAAGTACTGGAATCCAAAATTAATTGAACTTAATTTTTATTTTCTAACTTTCATGGCACTTTGAAATATCCCTTACAGAAAGTGCACATATTAAAGTTCTAGTTCACACTATCATTCTCTAAAAAGACTATATGGTAAGTGAAAAGAGAAATAGTTGTATATTAATGTCAGTTAACCTCATATATCAGCCTTTACAGTGTAGATGTAAATTTGATGTTCTTGTAGACCTCTCAAACATTTACGATCAGAATGTAACTGGCAGAATTACATTTGAACGTGGACAAGCAGTGATGTGATACGTATCAGTGATACTTGAAACACTACTAATACTCCTGCAGAAACTGAAGCTAACTTGTATAGCTAGCATAACTTTATATACACATCTCGTTGCTCAAAATACATTGCTCCAATACCTGTATAGTACCAGAAAAGTCTGCTACTTTACTTTTGTTTGTGCTTTGCTACTTTTTAGATAATTTTTAATATAGTGGGAATAAATGGTTTGGATAATGTTAAATTAATATTTGTTAGTGTATCAGTTTTCTATTCCTGCCTTTGTTGTGCTCTTCAGGCCTCACCTTACCCATTACTGTTGGCCTAAGAGACAGTCAGCGTTTGAACCTAATTTCATGGTCGAGCTTTATTGCTTCCAACATTGCAATTCTGAAGCACATAGGAGAAAATATTCACATCTGTGCCTTTAGTTTCTATCACCACTGAACCCTGTGAGAGTCTTGTCATTAACTTTAGTGATATAAACACCATACTTTAATCTACACGTAAAAAGATTTCTATAGTTTATGTGCTTCATTATCATCTTCATAGAACCAGCTGCTAAACTTTGCTTTTTCAGAAAAACCAAGCCAAAATAAAACCAACAAATACCCATACCCCCAATCTTGTTTTTTTCAGTGGTGGCATGAAAAGTTCCCTTTTTAAACTAAGATTTAGATTTTATACTCTCGYAGTCTTCTGAAGACCTGTGAAGTAAGGCTCGTGTCATCAGCACGATCCTCAGCAATCTACTTCTCCCACTGTTAACACTTGCTATTCCTAAACATTTTTTACGCATTTTTTGAACCTATACCAACTTAGGAAAATCTTGATGGCCTCAGGTCTGTCGTAGTCTTGGGAACAAAAAAAACAATCAACCAAATAACAAAAACAAAAAAAACACACAATACCCAAAACTTTCTTGCAGATCCTTGCAGGTCTTGCCTACAGTATGTAACAGCTGTTGAAGCATGTTTGATGCCTGGTGAGATTTTGGTGATATTCAAATATTTTTTCCAGCTCCCTTACAATTCCCCAAATAACTAAGTGGAAACTGTTTTACTGAGAAAAAACCTAGCATAAAATGGTGCCATATTGATGAAAGTGGTTATTGTGTATTTTTTGCAAAAGTTGGGATAAAATAAAAAACTGCATTTCCACAGAACTCTGGAACTGTGAATCTGTGATATTTATAGCCACACTCAAAAGATATATGGTGAAAAATTTAACATGAATTCCAATGCTAATTGTGATCCAAAGTTGCATCCAGCTCAGATGATCCTTTCTTTGTCAATTCTGAATGATTTGAGAAGTGCAAGAATCTCTGAAATAGATAAATTTCCAAGATTTTCTGTATGGGTAAATCTTACTCTAACTTTATGCAGCTACCTGGTATTTTTAATTGAGCCACAGCTTTAATTAAAAAAGTGGTAAATCTCTTCTGCTTTACTAGTGCCATCCCCCACCATCCCCCACTCCAGCTCCTGCTCAAACTCTTCCAAGTTCTCATACAGTAAATTCATTCCCTGTGCCTTTTGCCATCTCTCCAAAATTTTATGGTTTGTGGTACCACCTGGACTGATCTTAATACTGTTGTCATGACCAAATGACCACCCTAGTGAGTCCTCAGCTATGTTTTCTGCTCCATGCTGGTTCTTTCTTGGATAATGTGGGTGTAGTGTACAGTTRCAAAGCCCTTTTATGATGGTCCCTACCGAATACTCACAACAATTCAGTGCTGGCTTCTTTGCTAGGCTTTGTCAGCATGAATATGTGCGAACTGTTGAGCTGTCTAACTTCTGCAGTCGTGATGAAGCAACTGCAAATTGGGAAGGAGAAAAACAAACAAACAAACCAGAACCTTTTTAGAATCATCAATACAATCTATCAGTCTATTTACCACTGGAAGGGTGGCTGTTAAATTGCTCTGTGGCTTTCTCTGACATGATCTGGGCATGGTCTTGTTCAAAAATCAGCATTTCTTCACATCTGATGGAATGTTGGACTGTTGGAATCTGTCTAAAGCAAATACAGTCTAAAACTCAATTTTGTCTTTATTTTGTTACAAGTCCTAATGCTCTTATTTATCATGCTGTTTAAATACTATTGCATTCTTACTGCTAGGAGATAGGAAGCCAAATCCTGGATGAAGATACAGGTCTTCAAAATTACTTCCCTTTAAGTCTACTGAATTCAGTATTCCCAGCTAAACAATTAACTGTCCGAAAGACCTCAAGCAAATCACTAAATTTCTCTTGTGCCTTAGTTCCACATCTGTAAAATGGGAATATCATCTTCTGCATCATACCATGACTAGAAGATGAAATCCTGGAATGTTTATAAGGTTCTCTCTCCCAGCAGTGTGGGCTGTGGAGATGCCGTGGGAGCTAGGAGTCAACAGAATTCAGTCATGCAATCAGTAAATTATTCCATCTGTAACTGCAACTATAAAGTATTGTTTTTAAAGGTGAGAAACTTTACTGGAATTTATATAGCTTTAATGGAATTTAGGTGGCAATACTGTCATACCAAGTTCATTATCAAGTTATAGGATGTAATCCCTACAAGAAGTGTATTAAATTACTTTGAGATCTAAGTCTATTCATAAACCTAAATCCTGTCATGATGAAATAAATGGCATTATTTTATATGGGGAAATCTGTGTACTAATACTTCTCAGAACTTCAGGCAGGTATACTTGGCTTTATCTTCCATATACCTGAAGGAATAGCTGTGATGGGATTTGTTCCATCTGCCTGCTCTCTTAATGATTTTTAAATTTTATTTGCTTTTTAATTATGATCTGCTTGTTAGTTTTCCACTCATTTCTGAGTTAGTGTACCTTTTCAAAATCAGAAGATTTCTGCAGAAAATTAAGACTGGTATACAGTAATTCACTTAGTGCCTGAATTCAGTATTTGCTAACTACCCACCTGATAGTGATTATTTGTTAGCAACTTCAGTTATTTGATGGTCACGGCTAAGCTATTTAATTTGAAAGTTAGACAGAAAATCAAGGTGATAGCCCTAATTTAATTCTCTAAAACACACTCCACCTGCTGGAGAGGCTAATGGGATGAAAAATTTGCTTATATATTATAGTACAACCTCTTAGTTGAAAGTTAGTAAATTAATTTTTGTCTTTCTGATTGTTTCCTTTACAGATGCAGGATAGTGAAATGGCCTCTTGTTTTGCATTTTAAATAAACATCATCAGTCTGAAGAAAACCTGAAAAAATCCTTAATATGGCAGGTCAGTGTTTTTCCATTCCTAATTCAACTCTCCCAGACTCCGCTCATCCTAAATGAACACAGTTCTGGTGTGAACATTAAAAGTGAATTTGCAGTGAGATTTGCAGAAAGGAGTGCATACCGTCACTCGGCATCTTGCGCGACTGCCCTGATGTAGTGGTGAGCCGGAAGCCGGCCGGCAGCGTTTCCGACGCGCCCGGCATCATGCTGATCCCATGAACCTCTCGCGGAGGGAACTGCCGTCGCCAGGAGGGGCCACGTCTGAAGTTCTTGTCATCGCTCTGTCAACACAGAGGTGTATTTGATAAAGCAAAATGAAACTTTTTGATTAATTATCCTGTGTGCTATCTCTACCACTGCCAAATGTATTCCACAACAACTCCCCTGCTCTGTTGTACTGCATCCAGTTATTACAATGTGTTTGAGACATGCTTGTAAAAGCTTTAGAAATGTTAAATGCTGGGGTGGAGAACTCTTCTAAAAATCTTTAGCTTGATATTGTCACGGGGTTTAGAATCAGCTAAAGTAGAACTTCCTTATACAGTGACAGAAAGTCATTTGTTACTGCATTAGGAGGCTTACATAAAGTGCTAAAAAAGGATTAAATGTGTATGTGCATGCACAGAATTTATAGGCATCTGGCATTTTCAGCAAGTGCTTAAAAGTTTTTTTTTCTTCTCATGTGCAGAAGTCCAAGACTTGAACACTTTTGCACTGGACTCTTATGTTAAGATAAATTATTTCCATAGGTGGGTCCAGATAACTGTCCCAAACCACACTCTATTAATATTAGCTTCAAAGAACAAAAGAGCAATGAAGAACAAACCAAAAAATTAGTTTTCTTCTTAATTTTTAAAAATGTGTTAAGTGTCCTAAACAGTAGACTACACAGGCATCCCACCCACAGACATCCTCCACTACTTGCTCTGGCCAGGAAAACTTCCACTCCATTCTGCATATTGCCTCTCTGGAAAATGTTCATCTTAAGGTAAGAGTGCAGTGTCAAATTTAGCATCCAAGATGACACAAATATGTAGCCACTGAAGTTACTTTTAAAACCTTGATGGGCATTCCTAATTTTTTCAAGATGTAACTGACTCTTTTTAACAATGTGAAAATTAACGTATCTTCATGCATTCAACTTAAATTTAGTGTTTTATTTTATAAACACTATTTATATATTTTAGTGATATTTTATAAATACTGAAAATAAAATTAATTACTTCCTCAAGTCGTCTTTCAGTTCCTAGTGCTAAAAGGTTGTTGTATTCTCTCTCAAGGATCTGCCGTGCCTGGAGATACCAAAGTAAACAATTAAAATGGTTGAAGATGAATAAAAGGTAATAATGGGTACAGATTAACCAGAAGTAGCATAATCAAACTTGCCTGTGTGTTTTGTGTTGGAATTTGTAATAATAAAGCTAAACTGCTGTAGTCAAARTTTTCATCCAGTGCTATAAGAGAACCATGTACACCACTTTCTAGAATATTATTTGCATATTCTCGGAGGCCAATGGCTTGTATCCAGCGTATGACTCGATCATTGCTCCACACCAGCACATCTGAAAGGATATTAACACCAGGTCATTTTCCTGATATCTGATAACATTCTGATAAATTGTACAGGTGCGTGTATGTAGCTGTGCATGCACTTTGGATGTCATACTGCTTTATTTCTTACATGAGGTATGCCAGCAAACTATACATATAACTTTAATATCTCCTGTTCAAAGACTCCATGTGATTTAGATTATCTTCCAGTAAAATGTTTATTCTAAATAATGTTTCCAAAGGAGAAATATGCTTCCAGAGGGCATCTCCAAAATGCAATTCCTCCCATTTCCCGTATATATACCCTTTTCAATTTATAGGCAAGTTTTTACAGTGCAAGGGCACAGGAGAAATATCCATTCCTCAAGGCTTCACTTGAGAGTTTTGTATTAAACATTTTGAGAGTGACATCAGCACTTATTATTTTCTAACATACTATAAAGTAAAAGATTAGTTCACAATTTTGGAGACAAACTTTTTAGTACAGAAAGCTGGTAGAATGGCTAAGGTGCATACCAATTATACAGCTGAGGCAACAAAATGAGCTAGGCAAACATTTTTAAGGATCTGGCTATTCTCTAAAATTATCCTGCCCTGTCTGTAAGATTAAAAAAAAATATTACTTATACTGATCTTTATAGTTGTGAGTGGGACACACAGTAGTGAGTTTTCAGTTAATAAGTGGTGACGTTTTTCCTGAACCCTTAGAAGTCCAGCTAGTGTAGCTGTTCTGGGAGCAAGAATTGTCTGGCTGAGAGCATCTCACTCTTTAGGGTCAGAATCAGCTGAAACACAGTGGCAGGCAGAGACCAAATCCAGCTTGGGCCCATGAACAGCTGACTGATGTGTGACAAGGTGAAGGAGGCTATGGATTATAACCCTTGTCCTAGCAGGAACCAGCACTGAAGCCACACCAGAATTTGAGACCAATAATCAGTTCCCCTGTGTCATTCTGCAGCTAGACCCACTTGGGCTGACTGGCGCTGATGCTGGCATATCCAAGGCAAAGCCATTGTGTTAGTGCGTGCCATCATCTGTCTTGAACAAATGCACACTCACTGTAGCCCTTCACCTTTGTGTTGTTAGGTCTTCAAATCAGCATTGTGCTTGAGAAGTGATAACTGCTGTAGTCACTAGAGCTGGAAATGCTCAAAGGAATCAAAGTTCATTTCTGATAGTTGAAAAAAAACCCAGCCACCCTAATTGTTACATATAAAAGGAACGATGCAGTGAGCCTGCAGCCACTCTAGAGAGCTTCACACAGAAAAATCTTTTAGAATCAGCTGTGAAATCTAATAAGGCCAGTTTTGTTAGTAACTATTCTTATATACCAACCAACTGCCTCCATGGTCACCCCTCCAAGCAGCACTTTCTGTGATACACTCTGACGTAAAAAATCTAAGGCAAAGGTTTTTAAAAGCTGGAGCAGAGTGTTAGGGTCCTGAATGCTCACACTTCTTAGTGTTGCCCCCAGCACATTCCACTGAGCTGCAGGCTGTTTGGCCTTCTGCTTCTGAGCCTGAAAGAGGCTCAGATAAGATCCATACCCAAAATCCAGTTTAGAAAAATGTATGTATCAAACCACCACTCACAATTGCAGCCTCAATTTACCAAAGTACTTAACTGTGCCTAATTTAAGGAGATAGACAGTATATGTTCTGAAGACAGATGGACTTGTGTTAGTTTTGCTTAAAGCACATGCTTAAATGCTTTGCTAAAATGGCATGACAATGGGTTAACAGTGTCAAGCTTCAAAAGAAACATTCCCAATGTTCATTCCCAGGAGCTATCACCTTTTATTTCATGCTGACTCATTTCTCTTCGCTTTTCCAGTTCTTTTCTATCATAATTCAACCTCTTTAAACACATGATTCCATATTGCAAGCTTGTTCTGTTATTTAAAGAGAAATATTTACAGAGTTAAYGAAGATAATTTTGAAGATGGGAACATATGTAGGATGTATTTCCTGCACTTGGCATGAGGTCTTTCATGGTGCCCATGTAGGAAATCTTGAGAACAGAGGGGAGAGCAAAACCAGCAAAAAAACTACCGACTTAAGGAATGAAATGGAAAAAACAAAATGAGTATGTTTGARTAACACTTTTATCATAAGAAACCCAAAGCATTAGAAGTAGTATTCAGAAAAGGTCAGCCCTTGTGAGCCGTGAAATGTTTTGTCAAAGCAGGCTTTAAAAGAGTGACAAATCAGACAGTATATTAAAAAGGAATCTACTTCTTGTCACATAAACCTCATTCTCCCTAAAGTCTAAATGCCTTTATTTCCATATTTCCAATTTAGCTTTCTAGTTATATCCCTAAGTAACCTGAACAACTGTCAAATTGCTTGTACTGTTAACGGCTTTTATATGCTACACACAATAGCTTTTCATTATTATGAGATCTCAGGGCTTCGAAGCTTAGTCTAATGCTTTCTGATACTTCACACCACTTAAATGATTACTGTTTCTGTATTGTCAAGAGTTTATTGATATATTAATGGTTCCCTGCTCATTATGACATTTATCTGTACCAATATCTTGGTTTTGAGAGACATAATTGCAATATGGTTGCTATTACTAAAGGAATTTCTCTCAATTCAGATTTCTGACAGTCAGCCCTCACTTTTCTTTGTGATTTTCCACACCAAAGCCACAGATTTTATTCTGTGCAGTACTAGAGCAGACACATTAAATGTTTTTATAAGTGTAGTCTTTATGCCAACATACCGATGGAAACTATCCACCATTTTTAGGTGCACACGCAGATCTTTCTTTGTCAGGTGGTCTAACATCCTTGCATCTACCAGGCATTCCATAAAATAACTTCGGTACTGAGGTAAACCCAGACTGGGGAGCCATTCGTTACCTATCCATTCGTGGTTCATATCACCATAAGCCAGGGTCTAAAGAGAGAAGAAAATGGAAAGGGGGAAATAAATTCTTGAGTTTGCTCAAGGCTGCACTACAGATTAAAGACAGAATATGTGTAAAACAAATTCTGTCTAAAAAAACAATTGTAATTCTTGTTTTGCTTTGTTTTAACATTGGAAGAGAAAGCCACTGCAAGATATTTGTTACCAGTAACAGTTTTGCCTGTTGCATCTTTTTTTTTCTTATGGAAGTTTGAAGGAAGTTTTTTCAGTTGTGAGTTTTAAATGCAAGCACACTTGTTACACAACAAAACATGTCTTTCATAATCTTACTTGCCTTCAATTGACTTTGCAGAATATTTATGCCAGGCAAATCCTACTGTGAACTGCTAATACATACATGGCTCCAGGGAGTCCAGTGAGGCTTTTGTCACTGTTTAGTGAGAAGAATTTCCTAAACAAGATCTAATGACACTTCCTGGCTTCACACCTCTAGTCCTTTAGAGACCAAAAGTTAATTTCAGTTGTTTGGCACTCAAACTTACATTTTAATGAGATATTTTCGGCTGTGAACAGCTTAAACCTAAGTGCATCATATGTAGAGCTCCAGAAACTGAGATAGGGGCAAAGCAGATTCCTCCTAGAAGCTAGTGTTCAGGCTTCATTGTTCAGCTAAAATTTCACTAGGGTGAGGAAGAGATTATATGAAAAACACATGCATGCTGAGCTATTCTTATATGAACTGCTCTATTAAGATGCAAAACAGATTTTTACATCTCTCTGTTGTCAATTATTTTTTATTACAAAATGGAACAGAGAACTAGTAAATTGCAAGATTTGTACTTCCTCAACAGGAGCGTGCTCTGGCTCACTTTCAAGTCTTACTATCTCCTTGGTTTTGTTTTTAATGCCATTATAAACAAATCAGTAACACAGTGTAAGTCAGACGGATATGTTTTCTGTGAGGGAAAATGATATATTCCCCTTATATCTCATTCTTGTGAGATTTTGAAGAGAAGAGGGTTGTCGTCATTAAAGAGAGCAACATTGTGTAAGTGTGTGAACGTATTAGAGAGAGAGACATTTTTTAAATGTAGCTAATTGACAGTTCTAATTAAATTGTACAATACTATTTGTAGAGTGATACTTGGGTGGATTTTTACAACTATTCTAAAAAAAAAATTGTTGTAATTTTAGAAAAGTTACCTCTGAAATTCATGTTTAATTATCCTATTCTGAAAAATTAGGTAAATACTTTTCCTAGTTTTAGATGATAGACAGAGTATGTCTTTGGAATTTTTGTATTTTTGTGAAAAATATTCACAACAAATTTTTGTATTTTTGTGAAAAATATTCACAACAAATGTACATTTTTCTGCTTTACCTCACAAAACTGTTCAGAGAATGTATTCTTCGAGAAGAACTCTAAACAGGTAAATCATAATTCAATCATTGAGATACTGTCACAGTATTATATTCCTCTGTGCATATTGACACACCCAATCATATTATTATTAACTTTCAGTTTAAAAAAGTTGTGATCATACCTGAGCCCAGCTGCCTTCTTCAGACTCTTTCTGCGTTATCAGCAGGAAGCAATTAGTAAAGCAGGTGAAAAGACAATAGAAATGAGTTATAAAAAGATGTGATTTTCATATGCATGTTAATGAAAATCAAAACATATGCATAAAATGCACGGATAAAATAACTCTGGCCCCTGGCAATATCCTGGGCTAAATTACCTGAAAAATTATAAGTCCAAAACCACAAAATGTGGCTGAATTTTTGAGACAGAAAACCATATCTTGGTGAAATTTTACAGCATTAATTAAACACTTTTCACTGTTTCACAATTAAAACACAAACATTTGCTTTAAAATTTGAGTAGTAGTGATGTAATTTTTTGTTTCTAGTTTGATTTTGAAATATTCACAATAAAAATATGTCTTCTTGGGAAGAATATGTTGTAAAGGAGCTTTTCATATAACATTTTTTATGGCAAAACTATATTTTTCTGACTGCCCAGTTAAACAGGATCAACTCTACTTCTGGTCAGTTCAGTGCTGCTATATGTGCATTTATCTTTACCAACAATAATAAAACTGAAAATTAGCTCAGTTTAAAAAAAAAAAAAAAWTGGCAAGAATTGGCTTCCTTACTGCTAACGAGAAAACTTTAAATACTATAACAAGTATACATTTTAAAGAAATAATTTCCTACTGCATCAAAATTTAGCACCAGTACCTTTCCCATAATTTATGGATTAGGCTGTCTACAAAGCCTGCCAAACTGAAGAATGCTTTTTTTGGGGATCATACTTGAGCATTGTATCATGTTCTATAAGCACCCTTATGGTGTTGTTATGAAGCAATGTAAAAGCCAGAACCTAAAATAACGTATGTTGCAAATTGGAAAAAAAGTCTTACTTTTAGGGAGAGGTTTGACAAAAATCAATAAATAAATGACACTCTCTATGAACCTGAAATCAAAGACCACGAATACCCAAGTATGGACATGAAAGACAGCGTTCATGAAAACATGAAGTTGTGTGATGCACCATTCTCAAGCCTCCTCTTATTTCTTTCTATATCAGCAGATACAAAAAACTGTTTACAAGAAGAGGGAGTAGATTACAGGGGAAATGTCGCACCTGTAACCGTGACAATTTCATTTCATTACATGAGGTTTCACAGTGACACTGAAACTACTATGCACTCTAAAAGTCCAATACTGGTTTTAGGGTTACACAATTTTTGTGTAACAAAATCGCAATACAGTTTGTGAATTATTTTGCTGAAAGATTGTGTAACTTTGCTTTAAATTCAATTTCATTACTCCCTGCAATTTTCTATGGCATGCTTTGGGAAGCACCCTACAAAAGAAAAGGTATCTGTGTTAAGGCAGGAATTCTCTTTTGAGCATTTTAAGTGGAAGTGGAAAGACTCACCGTTTTAGCTGGAGCAGTGAGATTTTCCATTTCTTCATGGGTCACCCAAACATTGCCTGAGGGCTATACACAAGGCCCCAGGAAGGCAGGTGGGATCCACATTAGGTAAGCAGTGGTAAAGAAGAAAGGCAGCACCACTGTAAGTTAACAGCGCATCACCATCAGCACAACCACGTTCGTGCCTCTACCGAGCTGCAACTAGAGATAACTTTAGAAAACTTGGTTTGTATTTTTCATTAGTGGCTTCTGAACAGATGTGGAGGAGTATTACAACTAGAACTGATGGATGAAATCTGGCAGAGCACTGCCACAAAGGAAAGAATAATAATTAAAGCTGCATTTAATAAACAACTGGCAAAGGCAACCTCTAGCTCACAGCTCTGTGCAGAAGTAAGCTTCAGCTCCCAAAGATTTTGCAGCCTAAACATTCTGCACACATCACATGCTCATATTGTAATCTATATAATGAATACTTCCACCATGTTTCTGTAAATCAAAAATGTCAAGAGAATTCACTTGTAAAACTGTTTGTCCTCATCCTATAGTTTTTCATAAAATTATTATTAGCACAAAGAGGAGAGTCAGAGAGGGGGCATGGACGTCTGCTGTATTTTCTAGAGACCTGAGACAAATTAACTCCTTTCCTGAGAAAGAGGGAAAGCAGAGACTGGGAACTCAGAAATTCACATTCCAGATCAGGGCAGCTTTGTACACTGACGGTTATTCAGGCAGTATTAAAGAAAAACAAGACAAAAGTATTCCCAGTGGTTTCTAATTTAAATGTAATGTTCTATCAGTTCATAAATGTAAATGCTTTTATGCTTTGAAATATTCTCTTATGCTTTTAAAATCAAAATTAATTTTATGTAGTAACTCAAACATTGTATCGAATCTTTACTACTTTACTTTGGTAAAATCCACTACAATTCATAATATGACCATGGAAATGACACACAAAACTATTCTCAAGGTGGAAAATATCAGATGGTGAACTACAGTATTCAAAGAACACTATCAACATGAAGATAAAAGGGCAATCAACAGCAATATTGTTGCCCAGTTGCTCATGTAGCTCAGTGGATCTGGTACCTAATTCTAATTCTAATTCTAATTCTTACCAAAAGATTCTCCCTAAATTTAATGAAGACAATAGATTACAAAATATTATTATTAACGTTATCATTACTATTAACCTACTAGTAGACATCTGAGCTACACTACTGGAGTAGCAGTCTTTGTCCTTCACTTCTATGCCATGTTTTCCATCTAATCAAGCCTCTTTTTTTTTGTTAGTCTCCGCTGCTTCTTTCATAGCCATTACCATCAGCATTAAACTCCCCTTTTGTTATCTTGTTTCTTTTTGTCATCATCAGTTTGGCCTATTTTTCCTGCTCTTTATCTATAGCACATTCACTCCTACTCCACCCTAAAATTTCTTTGCTCTTTTTGATAGAGCTTTTACTTTCAGACTCGTATCTCTGTTTCTTTATGTGCTTCCCTCTGGTCTACTGCCCTCTCTCTCCCTTCCTGCATGCAAAGGCTCCACTTCTGCCTTCCAGATGCTCCCTTCACACCTCCAATCGCTGCTTCTCTTAAAAACATGAAAACCTAAACTAAACCCAGCTGACTCGTATTAGGTAACATTGGAAAGGGTGCAAAAAGGGGGAATGGGACAAAGATTCAAAAGAGCCATGTTCCTACATAACCTCTCCCAACATCTGCCTCCCCTCCACCCCAAAAAAAAGAAATAAAAAAAAGAGAACAAACAAAGAGAAACACAATCTGATTAGGCTGGTACAGATGATTTGAAGGAAGAGAAAGGTAAAAATGTAGGCAAAATTACAAATAAGATGCTCAATACTGATCATTTAGATAACATCATGGATAATCAAAACAATGACTTTAAAAAAAAAAAAGAAAAAATATCTGATAAAAGAAAAACATCAGCAATCAACCATCAAGCAAATGATGAACAGGAAGTTCTGAGTCACTATTAGACAGTTCCCACTGATTGTGAAGTGTGTGTTATCACGGAGCCACTCTGGTACCACAAAAGTTTTTCTGTAGACTCCTGTTAGGTGAAATCAGGAAATAAAAGTTAGCTGAACAGGACTCACTGTTCTGGATGTTGGAGGTGCTGATGGGCTTGTCAGTGATACCATCTCCTGGATTGCTAATCGCAGTTTTAGGCGATGAAGAGGATTGCTGATTCCAATTTCTCTTTGAATCTCAGTATCAGACAAAGCAGACATGATAGCTCCACTCTTCACGTTGGCACGGCAGGCAGCAACGTACCAGGCTGGCATCCCCAGCCAGAGCTGGCGAGAGAAAGGACACTTCAGCCACAGCACTGCTGCATTTCTCAAATGAAATTACGATCATAGAAGATCCTGAGCTGGAAGGGATCCATTGGAATCATCAAGTCCAGCTCTTGGCTCTACTCAGAACAGCCTCAAGGATCACATCATGTGTCAAAAGCATTGTCCAAAAGCTTCTGAATCTGTCAGAGTTGGTGTCATGACAACTAACAATCAATGAATTCATGACTAATATTAAATAATTACATATACAAATGAGTATGAACGTCATAGTCTTTAATGAAACAAAATAGTTTCAGAACCCTTGAAATTGCCATGATTCCATGTAAATTCTTTTTGTTTTCACTGTAATCAGAAATTTAAAGCAAGGCATGCTTCGAATTATTTTCAGAGCTGTGTGCCTCCATCCCCTGGACTACTGCTTTCCCAGGTTTTTCATGAGCAATACTGACACAGGTCAGTGTTACTGCCCATCTGATAATCTTACTGTATACAGAAAATCATCTAGGAGGAATTAAGTAAGTTTTTCACTTTTGTACTAAAATGGCTTTCGGTTTTTTTCCCTTTTTTTTTTTTTTTTTTTTTTTTTTTTTTTTTTTAAATAAAGGCTTGCTCAAAAGACTTACTAAAAATGGTCCAGGAAATTAGGAAATTCACCAACAAATCTGGAAAGCAGTGATAAATTGAAAGGATTTTTCTTTTGTTTGACACAGTAAAGAGAAACACTGAGTGATTATTAAGAAGTTTACATCTTATCTGGGAAATATTTCCATAGAAGTTAGCTGTTATGTCACTTTTATGTCACAGAGGACTGTCAGGTTGCAAAAGGCTCAGTCAGGCTTTTCTGTACTGAGTCCTAATGTCTCCCAGAGCTTGAGAAATAACTGCATTGTGTTTCAGTAAGTCCTTTCCACTGATGGGATTAGCCACTACCCTCCGTCCCATGCTAGTCTAAACCTTAAAAACAAGATCTAATTTCAACAAACTGTTCTAAAATACCAAGCTTCATGAAAGAAAAAAAACAGACCAACAAAAATTATGTATGTAACACTCATCCGCATTTAAACAAAGAACCATGAGAAAACTATGTATAGCTTTAAAATGTATTTTATTACTTCATTTATTTTGACATTAGCTTTTTCACACATGCACTTGAAAAGCAGAAAAGCATAAATACTGAGAGTTATTCACCTTGTAGAAATAGATTCAAATGTTTGCTGCTCATTAGGTAAACTATTTTGTTAATCAAATAATTAAATTCTTCAACAAATAGCTCTCTCTAGCAGAAAATTGTTTTAGATGAACAGTCTCTAAAAAGAGGAAACAGTAATCATTCTAGACAGAGAACTCAGATATCAAGAATGAGATACTTTTCCAGAATCAATTAAGAAATCACAAAATCCTGAAAATATTTCTTAACTATGTCTGTGCYACATACAGACAGACAGAATAAATGCTGCGGCTAAAAATTTAAGCCCTGAAAAGTTCAAAAATTTCACAATATACTTCTTAAATTAGAGCCTTTGTCTCCTTTAATATTTATTTTATTCTTTAATTGAAGTGACATGTTACATTTTTCTTCAGGAGAGTATGAAATGCACACAGAGTCCATTTGCTGCCTGAATGCACTGATGCTCACTGCATAAATACACTACTCCTATGCTCATATCTTTTTATCATCAGTACTCAATCTGCATTGAATACTGAAATATAAACTCCCTTGTGAGCTCTCCTGTGCTACTGGCACATTCTCCAAGAATTTAACAGACCTTGATTTCTATTTACAGCCCCCTTCTGAAACAGTGGGAAGCATATCCTATTTTTCAGAAAAGAATCAAGGGAAAAAATTGGGGCTTAACTTGTCAAAAACTGCTTGAAATTGTGGACCACCTTGAAGAAGGTATTGACATTCAGAAATTACAGACCTTTGTATGTTCACATTTTCAGCAAATCAGCTTTTACTGTTATACTGAATATTTCTGGCTGATATAAATCTGGTTACAGAGCTCTTAAAGTCATATGATAAAATCAAGTAGTGGCCAAATTAAGGATTGCTCCTTATTAACAGAGATTATTTTTTTGGAAGCTCATATACAAATACTTGAACTCTTGGATAATCTCTTGGATTATTTTCCAAGCTCATATGCAAATACTTGAACTTGTTTTCTGAAATTTTTATTTTGTCTTTTTCACTGGGTACCTTCAGTAATTCCAATATGAAGCAGAAATTTTGTAGACATCAGCTGCTTTCATTTCTCATCTTTTATTTATTCAACAGCATACTTCAGTCAAAGCTTTGGAGAAGGATTTTTTTTTCAATTGAAGAGAAGAAATTTACAAATTCTAACTGATGATCAAATGATGATACAGTAGGCAAGAGACAGGTTGTGAATAGGTAGAAATGCTTGGTATAGTAAGGAACAGACACTTCTTTGAGCCAACAAAGAGCTTGTATCTGCACTGAAGTTTTACATCCTTGCCACGTAAAAGTGACTGTGTATTTGTATAAGAACGTTCTTATTATGTGCCTTCTTCTCCCCTCAGCATCTGTGTAAGCATTTTTTGAGTAGTTCCTTCACCTAAAACAGGAAATGATTTTTGTCAAAATTGACAACAGCTCTGCTGTTTTTCTGCACGATTTCCAAACAACATTCATTTAGGTCCTCCAAATAAAGGCAGCTCTCTGCAGACTGGATTTCAGACTTGAAGGCACTGCCTGTCAAATCAGAGAGATTTCAACCTGGATCTCCCACACTGCAGTTAAAAATGGTAAGGGAACACTTTTTTCCCTGTTATCTTTTTAAAATGCAGAAAGTTACAAATTCTTTAAATTTATTTCAAATTAGCACATCATTCTGCATAAACTATCTGTGGAGTTCCTAGGCATTTAGAGACTGAGAAATTAAAAGATTAAAAAAAATTGGGATTCAAGCACATTTCTGGTCCCCATCCCGTTGTGTAATTCTTACTTTTTTCAGCTCTAATCTCTAATTTACACAATCCAGTGTTGAAATCTACGTAGTGTTGACAGTGCAGTGCACAGGAGAGAGGAAGATTTTGTAAGTACAAGCACACAGAAGCAGTCTACAAATGTAACTCACATTTTCAAGTTATGGTGAGCACTTACCTCCARCCAGGCAACCACCGTTGGTCCATCCCACTGTGCAAAAGGCAAACCTTTTCTCCGAGCTTCTTCCAGAAGTTCATGTCTAAAAATTGTATCAAGGATCAAGGAATGGTAAATATGTGGAGGTATGTGGGCCAAAAAGACGCAACTCTGCCTTTTTGTGTAAGGGTGGTAACAGCGAAGCACAATGACAGGCATAGAAAAAGCACAGAACACAACAGTTAACAAAACAGCTCTTTCTCCCATTGAATGAACCCTCAATCTATTCCAAATTCTTCATATTATTTGTCTGTTTATCTTTTAAACATCTAACATCCAAAAGGTGAGGCTTCTGTCTCTTCTTTAGGCAAAGCAATAAATTGGTATAGCTGATGGTAAAGGGGTATCAAAACAGACACTGGTGAAGAGAAATGAGGGACTCCCTCTGGGACTAACTAAGCTCTAGTCTGGTAATGACCCGAAAGCCCCAGGACTGGCAACTTCTAGACACGAACTAAGAATGGATGTAATGCAGCTGGGTCTGAGTGGTATAGAGTTATTCTGTACCTTAAATATGCCATCTGTGGCTATTTCAGAGCTGATTGCATCTTTAAAAGTTTCATGTTTGGATCTTTTAAGTAATCGATTACAAACAAAAGAAATCTACGTGGTTTACTTAAGTAAATTTTTTTCATATAATCATAAAATTGATATTATCAATTCTAATAATAGAATTGATGAAGTTTCTCGATTTTATACACATACATAGATATATCTCCAATGAGTTGATTAAACACCAATCCAGTTTCTGATCTGCAATTTTTCTGAGCTACAACTGGTGTATATGGAAAACATAATTCTCAGAGCTTAATTTGTATGATTAATATGGTGATATTATATATTTGGTGTAGTTACAAATAAACCAGCCAGCTAGACTATCAGGAAAATGCTCTACATTAAATACATCCAACTATTTCACCAGACATTTCCACTGTGGTGATGGCATAGAAAAAGCAGTCTTTCAAAAGTTTTTTTTTTCCTAGTATTAAACAACATGTTTTCAGCTGCCTCCTACTGAGCAAAACACAAAGGAATGCTCTCAGCAACAAACTGTAGTGAAAAACAAATTAGGCAAGGACTATGCTAAGGCAGTATTAAAATTTGCTTACATTCCCAAATAACAAGAGAATCTTGGAATTATAGTTTCAATTTTGTTCTGCTCTCCTTTATTACTACAGCCTTTGTGGTTCAATTATCCCTTGACAATTCTTCACCACCTCAGCAGCCTTTCAACTACATGTACTACAAAATCACAGCAGATAAAAGCAATGGAGCGATCTTACTTGTAAGGAGTAGTCCTTTAGGGATTTTTGCACTGCCAAGGGGCCAGACTGAGAGAATCTGGCTTCAGTAGAAAATGGAACCCAAATAAGCAATCTTGCATACACGTTAAATCCCTGGCTCTGAATATTAATAGAAAAAAAGCTGCCTTATCTTCTGTGTTTATGCTGTAGTAATATGTAACATTGCAAATACAGGACAGCATTACTGAAGTTGATCTACTTTCTCCTCCCATACAGCCTTTGTAGCACACCTTTCCTTTGTCACTCAGATATCCCAAGCCACTGTAGAGCTCTCCTTGATTTCTGTGAAAGCACAACCCTTAGGAGAAGCTGCTCTCTGGGTACACGAACACCATGTTACCTTCAGCAGCCCATGGGGATGCAGGAACCCCGTATGCCCAGGGAGATGAGTAGTGAATGCCAGCAGAAAGGTATTCACCTGCCTGCTTCAGACAGCAGAATTAAAGCATGGCCAGACTTGGCCCCATCCCAGCTACCTGTGGATGAGGTATCTGGGTTGCAGCATTCCCTCAGGGTTGGTTCTGCAGGTGCTGCAGTGGTGCTGCATCTCTCCCAGATGCTACAACAGGGCTGCAGGACCAGCTGCTACTAGCTCTGAGAGCTGGAATGGCCATCCTTAGGGAGAGACAAGCTTTCAGGAACGCCCCTCCCTCACCCAGCCACTTTGGGTGTCCCATGGTGGAACATGGACTGCATAGCCAGCCCAAGCCCAGAGAGCCACCCATTTTGCAGCTAGCAGTCCCAGGGAGACATCATCTCTGGCGGAACCAATCCCAGAGTTTTATTTTTCTGGGCTACTTTCTTCAAATATCCCAGCTGAAAGAGCCGGGCTGGAGTAGGAAAGGAGATAATGACTCTCAGGGCCATTGGCTTTTCCTCCTTGTGTTGGTCCCCTGCTCCAAGCAGGAGAGCAGCAGCACCCAGACTCCAAGGAGCTGGGGAGGAAGCCTTGGCCTCTTTGATTTGGTGTTACACCTCTGAGTGGCCTCAGGAACTGAGATCCCTGCAGAAGAGCCATTGGCACTTTAGGGTCTCACTTGGAGGAAAAACTTCATTCCTTTATCCTGGAATAACAAATTCCMAATTATGTGTTACTAGGGAGTCTTCTGGGACTTTGCAACATCTGTACCAGCCTGAGGCTTGGTGTGGAGCTCAAAATTATTCTAGTAATTCTCAAACCAGTGTATTCTCCCAGAGGAGGAAAGGACTGCTGTTACTTTGGAGGCAGCTCACAGAGCTAAAGGAAAACATAGCTGTGTTCATTGATTCAGGCTGAAGGAAAAGGGGCCAGGACAGGAATGAGATACCGCATATATATAAAAATATAAATATATATATATATACATATGTGTGTGCTACAGCCAAAGCCTGCAGTTTGATAAACATAATCCAAATGGTCTTTGCATGTAGAAGGAAATTGCTCTGAGTTGGAAATATTTTTAGGATAAAGTAAAAAATCCTGTACTCAGACATGTCCATGAAATATAGCCATCGTAAGGGCTGTGCCTCACTTACTGATGTGGAAAAAGTAGTTAAAGAACTTTTATAATATTTTGTTTCATTAAAAAGAATTTAATGCTTCAAAACTTTAAATTCCTTCCTCAGATGATTCTTTTGAACAGCTTTGCAATATTAAAGTTCATTGAAATTGTAATTTACTTTTGGAACATTAGTCTTTGACTACTTAATACAAACTAAGAGATTTGTAAAACCTGAACCTTCAATTTATAAGCCAAAACAAAACCCAGACTTCTATTTTTTGACTAAGAGATATATATTCTTTAGTTGGCAGTCAGTGAAAACTCTAATGGTRTGTTTTGGGTTTTTTCTTGTAATGTGAACTAGCACTACAGAAAAAAGCTCCACTCCTTCATTATGTTAAAAGTATCATGTAGGAAAAAATACGCGTAGTTTTGATCAATTGTGCAAATCACCTGAAAAATGGATCCTGTGAGCTCCATGGTTTACAATACAGTATTTTAGAATGGACAGAATGTTGTCTACAGTTGTCCTTACAGCATAGTAACTGGCTTTCTGAAAACAGGGTCCAAAGCAAAACATTGGTAACTGCAGTTCAATTTTCTTTGCAAAAACATGCATCTGATCACAGGAGGAAGAAGAGACAAATACCCTAGAGCTTATCACTGTCTCTTCCCTTCATTACAATTATACGGTTTGGGCATCATGAAAAGCATTATTCAGCTTGTCTAGTCTGGAAGATGCTTTGCAGGGGAGCTGGGGATTTTCCCCTCCTCAGTTTGTCAGAAGAGTCTATATGTTATTATGTGTCCAGGTTTCATTGGCAAAGAGGAAGGGAATTAAAATGTAATTATTTCCATGCTTGCTTAGGTTTTTGGCAACGTATGAAAACAAGCTGATAAGGAAAAATTGACATTAATTAGGCATTACTAGAAAAGGCATTATTTTGCAGATAGGGCTTTAAACCACTTACTATGACTAAAATGATTTCCAAATTAAAGCCATATTTTAAAAGATAACGTTATTACTGCTAAAGAAGGAAATCCCCTTCCTGGAGACATTGTGGGAGTAACTGGAATATGCTGTTTAAAATATACCATTACCCTGACCCTGGTTTTGTAAAGGCTGGAAATTTAATGAGCATCAACTGTTTAATATTCATCCAAAAGTTAAGAAATACTTTTTTTGTGTGTTTTAGTGAGTGCCTCATAAAGTGGGCTGTTTTCACATTTTTATTGAAGATGGCAAAGAAAAATCATGTAATGTCACTTGTGTTGTAGAGCTGTGTCAGAGGAGCAGGATTGCCTCCCTAGCACTGACTTGTGATGTTTAATCCTCCCCCAAATGATTTGCTAGAGATACTGTTAACACTGGGCCCTTTCCTTGGCACCATTTGTCTAAGAGCCAGGCACAACTAATTGCCCAATTATTTAGTAATCAACCTAAAAATCTGAGAGCACAACTGTTCTATAGTCCTTGGGACAGGAGAAGTACATGGGTGTAACAGGAAGGCAGAAATGACGAGTGAAACTATGCTGCTACTCTGCAAATCTACTTCATATGTATTCTTCTCTTGCAGCAGGGAAATTCTAGCTCTGTATCAGCAGCCGCCATCAATTCATTGCATAAAACACAATGAACTATTAAAAATATTAATAATCTTTAAATAGAATTTGTGCAGGAAGTTAATGAGATCTTGACTTAAAGTGTGTCATTCAGTGGTGCTCAATTTTCTTCATGAAGATAAGGCTGCCCCCCATGAGGCAAACAAGAAATGACAGCTTAGGAATTCTAACACACATAAAGCAAACACTGCGCAATACACGATGTCCAGACATTGTCTTGATGAAATGTAAACAATATTTCAACACAGATCATATTTCTACAACTAATAGGATTTACTCTGATAGTTCTAATAGCGTTCATGTGAAAAGACCTCAGGGATATTATACTGCACATATTTTATAATGTCTCTTAGTTAAAACATAATTATAAATGTGAAATAAATAGAAAAGGAGGCACAGTGAAGTCAAGAGCCAGATAATATTTGTAAAACATGCAGAATTGATTAAGAAAATTTTGCTAATGGGTAATTTAGATGGTGAAATGGCCTTTACTCATGGGCATTTTCTCAAATAGAAAACAGATCAAAATTTTTACCTTGCAGTCCTCTGATTATTAACTGGCATTATTATGATAATGATTATCACCAATATTAAAATGTTTCATTTACAACCAAATGTACATGATAGGTTTCTAG